CTGAGCTCCGAGGTGAGTATGGGAATGGGGTTGATATCGTGAAAGCGCGTGTCCCATTGGATTACATGCGCCGAATGTTCAATGTAAATGCACTACTTTCGCATTCGAGTATCGTTAGACTACAACAGATCTCGTGCCACCCAAAACAAGTATTACTCTGAAGCAGGGTCTACTCAGAAGTCAAACATTTAAAACCGATGTGTGAAGGTATCGGAAAGCGGCAGATGAATATACGCATCAGATTCATCAACATTCGAAGATAAGCACCGTTGAAAACCGGACAATAAAAGGGGAACAGACCGCATAAAGCCCAATTCAATAATGTTTTGGGGTTCGCACCACTGGTGCGACTGTCAATACAGCGGCGCATGATGAAACCAGCACACCGTACGCGAGGCATGCTAACGTAAAGCAATTCGCAATCGAATCAGACATTTACAAAAGGATCACATAGATGCACTTAAACGCAAGCTGATAACAGCCACGTGCCGCTGATACGGTTTCAATAATCGGAGTCCCCTTTAAAGCTAAACGCGCTCAAAGCACATCCATACAAAGGGAACTTCAAAGGAGACTAACAAAACTGTTGCACAGGAGTAATGAGACAAAGCGAAGAAACTCAAAGCTAAATGAAAAAATCCGGGCGTGTGAGAAGGGGGATGCAAAAAACAACTAAGAAAAATGAAAAGTGAGTTTAGCATTCGTGTTAAACTCTCGTCTAAAGCCTATAGCTTTTGGGAAATGGATGCTTATTTTTAAGTTATGTAAGATGAGGGATTTGTCTGTAAACGGACATATCAGATTACCCACCTAACAAAGGCTCACGGCTGTTAGTGAGTTTGTGGGCGGAAATAAGAAGAATACAGTTTTGATCATGTGTAAAGATGGGCCACCCTTATACACGTTAGCTGCAGGTGGAAAATACTACAGCTATTGTGCCGCAATACAAAGGAAAGAAAAAAATGAAACATACGCGCCGGCTGAGTCACCAGTAGCGGATGGACATCGTTCCGGAGAGCTAACAGCCGGCTATTGTGCCGCAAAAGAGGAGTTATATTACACCTAATAAATGAGATCGTGGTTGGAGGGAGAGGAACAAAGAAACTCACAACACAAACGCCACTGAGATCGGCTCCCAGGCAAGTCAACAAGTGAATCCAGTCAGAGGTGTTCATCGTCCTTCGATTCACAACCAGGGAGCTGAGGCCACCTTCGAAGCAAGCTCCTTCATTGCTTTTGACCAAGTCATCGCTCGGCCATCCCTCCTCTTTTTCCATCTGCAACCCCGCCGCGCAAACAACCCACGTCTCGGAAGGCTGGCATGCGCAACACGTGGCCAAGCCATCGGTGCCTGGTGTGCGAAATAACGGTGCTGAGCAGTTCGCTTCTTCTTCCTGCAACATAAACAAGACGTCGAACATCTTCACTGCACACACGGTGTTCCCACCAGATATGAGCCAAACTGCGAAGACACCGGTGCTCGAACGTAACCAGCCTCCTTATGTCTGCCGATCTAATGGACCAGATTTCACAACCGTACAGTAGGGTCAAACTTACGGCTGCATTGCACACTCTACCCTTCAGGGAGAGAGTGACGCTGCGCCGGCGCCATAGGTGAAGAAGGTTAGCAAAAGCGCCTTGTACTTTTGCTATAGGTTTTGTGACCAAGTCTTCAATTTCAACGGCACTGATACAACTACTTAGGTAGTTGAAATTTGGAACGACTTCCTAGCTGATCTCCACCAAGAGTCAGCGCAGGAGGCGGTCCATGCCAATCTAGAATGAAGTTTTACACTTTCAAGGTGAAAAGCATAGCCCGAAACGGTTGACAGTCAGTGCTAATCGGTCCTACGCTGTTTGGCATGTTTGTGGGCTGTTACAGGTTAGGGCAATATCGTCCGCATACTCCAAGTCAAGAAGTCGTTCACCTCAGGGCAATTCCACACCTTCTAAATTGTGCCCTGTGAACATGATCTCCATGACTTCGTTAATAGCGGAGCTGAGGTAAGGTGACAGCGGGCATCCATGTCTTACACCGCTGGAGACATTGAAGGGCGGCAACAGCTAGCCGTAAGCCCACGCTCCACTCGAGTTACGCACGATATTTTTCGGACACACCTTTTCTTACCAGACAGTCTCAAAGGGCACGTCGATCCACCGAACCTAAGGCACCTTTGAAGTCGAGGAACACGTCTACGGTGGGCCGATAATATATGTGACGGTGATCCAGCAAGTGACGAAATATGTATATATGGTCGATGCATCCCCGACCTCGACGAAAATCAGGTTCCTCCTCATGAATCCGGTTTTCAGTAGCGCCAATCAATCTGTGAAGGATTACAGAGGCAAGTAATTTGGAGGCGATGGGATCAGACTGATTCCTCTATGATTGCCGCATTCCGAACGCAAGCCCACTTCGAAAACGGAGCGGCTCCAGTAGGTTGGGACAATTTTCTGCTCCCACAGTTTCACTAGTAATTTGTGGAAATCATCAACAAAAGCAGGGCCCCCGAATTTGAAGAGGGCTGGATGAAGATCATCTTATCCCGCAGCGTTATTCAACTTCGACAGTTCGATCTCAAGTTCGACTTCTAAGCGATAGGGCGGCTCCAAGGAGCAGGACGATCAATGACCAGAGAGGAATTCAACAATTCCGGCCGATTTAATTGTTTTTCAAAAGACAGCTTAACGCTCCAAACGTTTGGACAAGTTGTGAATAGACCGTCCACTCTCATCATAAATGGATTTACTAACACCAGGTCTCCTGCTATCGGTTTCCTGTGTCAGACGGAATAACCTCCGATGGTTACCAAAAGTAGAGGCCACTTTTATCTCTGAAGCACGATGATGCCACCAGGAATCGTGGTCTCTCTTCAGGTTAGCTCGCAGTTTTTCCCTTAGGTCGTTGTGTTCGTTTCTAGCCGGAATGTGCCGGCGAGTATCGACATGTACCAGAGACTGAGAAGAATAAATTTGGCACATGATGAGTTACTTGATTCTAGTAAGGTCCGGCGTACTTCCCTCTGTTGTGTGATCCGTTTTAATCGCACAGGCCTAGTATCGTGATGTTTTGCATAGTCTCGGTTAAGTATACTCACTGCTATATTATCATGTGTAGTATAGTCGCAGTTTGTGGCGGTTCATACTTAAGTCTGGACAGGCGCATGTGCATATGTTGTATTGGAACTGCCATTGGACATGGATGACACCAATCCATGTATATGTGTATACCGAATGAATTCGATGGGATAATCAAACCGCTTTTGCACAGCCAACTTAGTGCAGGGATACGACACTGGGGCAAACCGAAAATAATATTACCAGGACCTGAAGAGGTGAGTTTATGATGAACTAATGTTGATTTCAGGTGTTGCGAATCCAAGGCAAAGTTGATCGATGCGAATTCCGTGAACTGATCAATAGGGTAGTTGTCCAGATGCAGGGGAAAGCACTATTGCACGCGAAATAGAAGCAAGATGCGTACGCTCCCATTCGATTTACTAATTCAGACCAATAAGGCGGCGTGTGTGGTACCTTAGCCTGCGTGATAAGTATTCTTACATTTCAGAACTAGATTTTGTTTGAGCTCCCCGGTGTGGCTGCGCCTGTGTGAATGTTGACAAGGTATTTATCTGTCTGGTACTCTTCACCTCGATAACTGGCTCTAGGAGACAGTTGGTCCTTGCCGGAGGGGACGGAGTGCACAGTCGTCTTGACGGTGCTAGGCTCAGAGTGGTTGCATGCAACCTGTGTGAAACGGGCGAGCTACGGCCCAGCCCCCGCCTTGTGTACGGAATGCTTCTGTTCTGCTTGTTGAAGGATTGTGGGCTGGCTCCGTTGACGAAACTTGGCTCAGATCCACATGCCTCCCGGTCTTATTCTTTCGAGTTTACACCGGATATGAGGTGTGTGGGTGGAACTGTGTGTGGTGCAGCGCAAGCCACCCATGGTCCCTCTGTAGGCGCAGATGTTCTTGGGCTGTCCTCATGGAGGCAACAGTGACAGGCAAATCCGGATACGGAGGCCGGCAATCCAGTAAGGGCTGATGAACATGCGACCAGTGTCCTACAACTGTACTCAGCAAGCGATTGTTCAACCCGAACGACAGCGTACCTCGATACACATTCAAAACATCTGGCTTCGCCAGACGGCTGGTATCCATGAGCTTACAGGGTCGTTAAAGGTGACGGCCAAAACGCACCCGCAAATCAGCACATGTTCCAAATCGAGCGACAGTTTTGGACGCAGCCTCTCAAGCGATAACTGATCGTGATGTGATCGATTTGCTTCTACGACTGGTTCGAGGCTGGTGGGCGCCATGTCACCTTTTGATAGGTGCTGTGTCGGAAGCTAGTGTTAGCAAGAAATAAGCGAGCATCTTTACAGTAACCGCTCACGGTTCATTATGGGAGCCTACATCACGTTGGCCGCCCGGATGCAGCACATCAGTGGACAATTTTCCAGCTTGAGAGGTTCACATCCCCCGCCAGCACCACAGTGGTTATGCTTCTTCTTTGGCGAAGGAACTCATTCAGTTGACCATAGAAGTAGTCTTTTACCGAATCGTCGCTACAGTTTGTGTGGGCGTAGGCAGCGATAACAAACAGGCACCTATTAGTCCCGCGTGACTTCGAGGCTTTGAACAAGCCAGCCAGTTGGGATCCAATCAAACAGAGCAGCTTCAGTTCTGGGACTCAGTGCAATACCAACGACAGCTTGGCCGGTACTCGAAGCTGCATCGCCTCCGGATAGGTGTACTGAGGAAGCACTGTTAGTGTCACCTGAAGGAGATCGCAGAGAGAACAGAGCTCGGGTCTTTTAGACGGGTTTCCGATAGGCAGTAGATATCGATTGGGAGGGTCTCTAGAAAAGCTTGATATAATGCGCTCATCTCAACTTCCGATCCGCTCAAGTGGTCGGTGATAATGCTGAAGACGAAAGATAGAGTCATACCGATAAGTGGCCCCGTTAAACCCAATTTGGAGGTTTGCAAAACAAAACACGAATGAGAGATGAGATTATCAGTTGCGTAAAGCATGAGAGAGGAAGTTAAAGGATAGCAGTATGCAAACCCATGTAACGATCATTGAGTCCAAAGCAATTGGCAGAAAATGCAACGGAACAACACGAAGACAATGAAAGAAAGTGGACCCAAACCGCGTACATCACGTGAGGTGATTTAAAAGTACAAGCACCACAGGCAATAAGCTAAGCATGAAGTTATCTACGGGAACTTACAGAATTTAATAGACAGAATTGGTAGAACAGTAAAAACATGCTACTTTAAGTGGGCAGATAAACGTTTTATAAAACCAAATTATTGTAACAAATTTATTGTTGCGGTGTCCTCGGGTTTAAAGGTGTCGAGTGGAAGTCGACAAAAAGACCACTTGATGCTGAAGGGAGCTGTGAAGAGGTTAAACTGGGTAGCTGAGCGGCCACTGACGTACACGGCGTAAATGCAGTGGAAGCAAGGTCGCGAATTCCGGAGAACACAACTGGCCCAATCACAGGCGCGCGGTCACTGTGAGCTGGAGGCATGCGTTGTACCATGTGAAACCCTAGCTCATCGGATTCAGATGCATGAAAGAAATATTCTGCGCCTGCAAAGCAAAAATAAAAATACATAACGGTAAGTACGAGCAGCAAAAGACCGCAGCTTATTTAGGACCAGGTGTGAGAACAAGGGGAGGTTATTTGTATGCAGTGTACTTTGCCAGCTGTAAGGTGCGGACTATGCTCACATGACAGACAGTGGGAGGTATCAGGCGAGTGGTAGATGTGAACAGTTGTCTGAGAAAAAAGCCTACCGATAGTGATCGTAAGTTCAACCATAACCATACGCGAGCGATACTCATCCGACCACGGATTTAGCACATAATCAAATAATCTGGATAGCCGTGGACTTCGGAAGATTTCAGAGAAAAACGAAACCAAGCTCAAACATTTGTGTAACGACTGTAGTGGACTCTAAAGTTTCTCGCGGTAATCAAACCAATCGGCAGTAACTCAGTTTATGACTCGCACAAGTAACGTGGAAAATATGTGCAAGTAGATGGAGTATTTCAGATCAGAAAGAACAAGGCGAAATGGGTATAAAAGTAACACGGAGTGACTTGACAGAATGGCCAAAACTATCACAAATGACATCATTAAAAGGCCAGGCAAGAAACAGATGCAGATGACCCGGACTACCAGAAAGCAATGACGTGAAACCGTGAAAAGCTAACTTGCCTTTCAAAGGAATAATAAGACAACTAACACAAGAGAGTTTGATATATCGAGATACAGAGAAGGAAATGCGAGATAATCGAAAAGAAGGAAAGCATGCACAGCTAACGAAAAGATCGTATCCTATCAGGTGTGTAAATGGCGGAATCTTAACTGCATTAGAGTTCCTTGCCAAGCGTGCGTTCAAAGGCTTAGGAAGACTGGACGGCATAACTCTCTGCCACTGGGCATCCAATGAACAAAACGATGAGCTGCCTTCACGGCGGAGCAGAATAAAATTGCAACACAAGCGGAGAGAACCAGTGAGTAGTGAGCAAGATGTGATACACAAAAGTGTTGTGTCGAAGGGGATACAACTATGGATGCGCAGATAGTGGACCTGCGTGCAATCCGAGGTAAAGCATGCAACATATATGCGACGATTGATATCAACAAATAGCGGAAGGCAAGTGCACGGTGGCGCATATTAATTGAAAGTGGAAAACAGACGCCTGTAAAGCGCGATGAGACGATTTATGCACCTTCGTACTCTCCATAACCAAACCGAAACGTGATCCGAGAAACAACAAAGGAGATAAGACAGGGGTGGAAGTCAGAAAGACTTAGCGCAACGAATCTCCAGATCAGGTTGGAAAAGATCACGGCAAAAGCTTCTCACATTACAAAGCATTATCATATCCATCCTATCGGATGGCAAGTGTTGAGCCAAAGCGGTCTATCCATAAGTACGATCATCAAGGGTAGTATATCTGAAAAAGGTATTGATACTGTAGTGGTTGTAATTACACTGTATTTTATCTTTATTTTTATCAGTTCCGTTACCGATCATTTTGTATCATTTGTTTAAATTCACAAATTTTGAATACAACAATTTCTATGCGCTCACGTTGTGCTGCTTTCGTTTTGATGCTGCCTCTGCTTGTGCTGCTGCCACGTTTATCCACCAGTCGGATTTATATCTTCGAATCTCTAGTCGGCATCGGACTAACATCGATTGAAGAAGGAACTATAACGCAAGTGTATTGATTTTTCTTCTATTTTGTGTTTTTGCCTAAGATTGCACTTTGTCCCCCGCACTCTAGCTCATTAGGTAACGGTCCTCTACAATACTTTTGCTCCGTATAACTACAAGGAACAACAGAAGGATAAAGAGAAGAGGGGCATGGCGAAAACCCGCGATGCCCAATGCAAATATTCAGGGGCAAGACGTTTACTCCTTGTCAACAATACAGTTGCAAACAGTGTAGAGAAGATGACACGGGGGAGCAATCTCGAGTGATCAGTAGCGTAAAATGGGGTAACTTTGGGCCAACATGAAAAATTATAAAACAGATTACACTTATTTTCGTATTTTGCGTGTGTGATAAAATTGGTTGTATGTGTCGAAAATTCATTTTTCACTAATTTGAAATCGTTTTATGATGTATTGGAATATTCAGTCATGCCGGTTTAGTTTCATCAGTAAATCATGTTTCTAAGAAAGTGTTAGTATAACCATCTCTGTTGTCACTTTGTGAATAATAGTAAACATTTTTGACATTATCCAAACATATTTATTATGAGATGAATCAAGATCAGAAAACAGTTCAGGGTTAAGATATCTTTTCGGTAAAATCTCGTCAGACCCAAACTTTTACATGACACGGATTATGTGGGGTAAGCGTCAAATCGGGCTGGGATTGATTTCTAAGGTGTTTGAAAGGTCAAGATCGATGACTAAAGGTGGCTGCAGATGGTAGGAAAAGTGCATCAAAGGAAATTAATACAAGCTTCAGGGCCTAAAGTAAATAGCTAAGGTCACAAAGGGTAGTTAAGTAACCATGTCAGTCGGCCAAGGTAGTAGTATCGGCCGTATGAATCGTTTGTGTACGCATAATTCCGGCTTCAGATGATGGATGTAAATAGCCTCGGCGATAGACAAGATTTGCTTTCGGAAGCCTTGCGATAAGCGTTCAGGTAGTGAGTAGATGACTTTAAAGTCATTCTCAGATGCAGTATGGCCACTTTCGAGGAGGTGCGACATGATTGAGCTGTCTGAGGCCCTCATTTTGCCTTTGTAAAACCACGCCGGGATGTGCTCGCGAATCCTCTGGGATAGACGTCTCGTTGTGCGACCCACGTATCGTGCACCACAAGAGCACGAGTACTGATAAACGAGCATTGAACGGGTCAACGATGGCAGACTATCTTTCAAGGGTTTTGCAAGCAATGGCTTGTTGTGGTAAACAATTCTTAAGCGGGCTGCGAAATAAGTTTTCTCAACAGCATCTTTCAAACGTCGAGATAGGATATCAGCTGCAGTATCGCCCTTAAATAGTAAATGTATGAACAGCTCTTTCTTGGGAGCAATGCTTTTAGGTGGCTTTCGCTTGCGTTCTTTCATATGCTTCATGATAAACTTATCGGGGTAACCATTCTCACGAAGGGCGTCGCTGATTCTCTGTAGCTCTTCGTTGACGGTATCCGGAGTGCAAATACTGCGCGCCCTGAAGGCAAGAGATCGGATTAAACTCCTCCTGTGCTGTAAAGGCACCGCGCATTATGTTACTGTCTTGGTGTCCAATGTTACCCCAATAAGCTTTGTCATTTTGGGGTAACATTGGCCAGTTGGCCAGTAATCTTTGAAAGAGGCATCAAATATCACGAGGGGATTATGAATTCGTCAAAGTCAGCAATTAATGGGAGGTCCGATGGCACCGGTGATGGAGAGTTACTACCGACATGTGTAGTGTGCAAAGCCGAAAAGATTTGAGACCCTTGAACGGAGAATGGTCTATCAGGCGAACAATATAACAAGTCAAAGTCAGGCTGGTTTGACAACACTTGCTTAGTAGGCTGGTTTCAGTAAGTGGCATTACCTGACTGTCGCAGAAAAACTGGCCGTTGCGTCCTTTTGAGTGAAAATCTCAGTTCACATTTTTCTCTTGACAACGTCAGACTCTACAATGGAAACCATATTGCTGTTTGTTGCCTCCCACTTAACTGGACCGATCTCTGCCAGCTTCTGATAGCAGCATATTCCTTCGGCCTATGAAGACCCATTGGAGGGGCATGCTGACAAAATATAAAAAACTCCTGCGGCAAAATGGCCCAAACCATTCAGAAGTATAGATTTCCAGGGCTGCTCAAACAATTTCTAGATATAATGAGTGAAAGCATTGCAGAAAACTTGCGGTCGGACTTTAGAAAAGCTGACATGTACCCAATAAATCCCCAGTCTGCCTGAGTAGAATTCCAGAGGAAACTGAAGAAGATGCAGATAGAAGCAGCACCTCCGTTTCAGAAGTATTCAAGCAACAACTGAAAGAAATGCGCTTTTCCACTGGTGAAGAGAATTTACGAAAACGCAAAATAGCTCTGAACGTCCAACTCAGGAGCGCGTTACCGGAATCGAGCCTTGTGCTGAAGCAGAAATTGGTTCAGGAACCAAAGTTTATCTAAGAGAAGCGGATTACTTGTCCTCCGTCGGTGATGTTAGTGATAATCGACTAGAAGTGTTTGCTAATTCCGATGACGAATGTGATCCAACATCAAAGAAGCCCAGTCGAAATCCAAAAACCTTTTTGAGAAGTTTGCTTAAGTATTTAATAATGTTATAGATGTGTTCTGTAATTTATTTACATATAAGCAGTGGCGTTTCTTACTCCTGTGTTATGTAACATTGATTCTGTGTGTGTTGTCATCATGGCTAGAGTATCCCTGTTAAAGGGGGATCTTTGGCAATAGTATGTATTTTAAAACAAGTTACTTAAGGGCAGTGAAGTGCACCAGTCAATATCTTCTACAGCATTATTACACAATAGCCCATGAACAGATCACTTAGTAAGGCTATCAAAAGCACTGATGTGTGGTACATTCCAAGCGAAAAAGTGGACCAAAGTTGCCCGGTTTTACGGTACATCCACTTTGCTAATTTCCTTCTAATGAGTCAGAAACACGACATCGTTCGTTGTCTAACTGAAAAAGCGGGGAAAATATGCATAGAGGAGACGCTTTCAGACGGAGTAAATTTTATCCGATGCGTGGTCAAATGAAATAGCTACCCAGATAGATGTGTCCGGATGGAATAGTGCATGATCTATCCTTATCTTTTAAGAGCGACCCAAAGGCAGACAGAATCACTCGAAGGCTTTCTGATGCCACCGCGAGAACATGCAGCTGATTTCCGTGTCATCTTTGCCTCACCGCTAATCGTGAGCCAACAACTCAAGGACAGAGTATTGTGGTCAACTTTTTCCTTCGCTATTTACAAATTTGCTTTCGCGTGTCTAGAGAGCCGTATTGGAAAAACGATCAAGCGACTGTCCGTAAGAGTTCGGGAACATTGCCAAGCGCTAGTCGTTGCCCGCCCTATCGAAATTAAGTCAATATC